TAGAAAGTGAGACGGGGAGGTGAGGGAAGGAATAGAGGGGGAAGGGAGGAGAGGGAGAATGGGGGGGAGAGGATGGGAGAAGAGGTGAGAGGGGTGAAATGGGAGAAAGGAGAGAGGAATGGTGAGAGGGTAAGGGTGGTGAAGTGAGAGGAACGGAAGGTAATGGGATGAAGGAGGGAGGAGAGAGATGATTAGAAGTAGAGGGAGGGAATGGGGAGTGAGGGGAGGTAGAATGGGGAGGGAGGGGAGGTAGGGAATGGGGAGGAGGGGAGGTAGGGAATGGGGGAGGAGGGTAGGGAAGGAGGGGGAGAAGTAGGAATAAAAGGGGTAGGGAAAGATAGGAGAGTGATGGAAGAGATAGGGAGGAAGGGGAAGAGGAGGGGGAGAAGGAAGGGAAGAGGAAGAGGTGGGGGAGAAGGAAGACGACAGAGGGATTTTAATGTCATGACAATTTTTTGCAAATATTTGAACTGGTAACTGGAATTTTCTTCTCTCTCTCATCAGTACTGCATCATTTAGCCGTACTTGACATCCTTCACAAGGCGAAAGACAGACAGACAGACAAAAGAATAGAGACAAAAAGAAGAGAGAGAAAGAGAGAGAGAGAGAGAGAGAGAGAGAGAGAGAGAGAGAGAGAGAGAACATTGCTCAGTCTCTTAAGAATCTTGGCAGAGAACTGGACATATTGTATCACTTAATCTGTGGTTGGTGAAGACTGTCCGTGTGTTAGTCTGTCGAGATGTGGCGTGCCTGGTATGTGTACACACACAACACACACACACACACACACACACACACACACACACACACACACACACGCAGGAAAAAAAGTAATTTATAGAAACCCGAATTAATGTTATCGTATATATATTAAATAATAATAATAATAATAATAATAATAATAATAATAATAATAATAATAAATAATAATTAAATAATAATAATAATAATAATAATAATAATAATAATAATAATAATAATAATAATAATAATAATAATAATAATAATAAAATAAAATAAAAAAAATAAAAATAATAATAATAATAATAATAATAATAATAATAATATAATAATAATATAATAATATAATATAATAATAATAATAATAATAATAATAATAATAATAATAATAATAATAATAATCATAATAATAATAATAATAATAATAATAATAATAATAATAATAATAATAATAATAATAATAATAATAATAATAATAATAATAATAATAATAATAATAATAATAATTCTTTCAGCAAAATATTAACGTGGAAACTTTTAAGGCTCAGTAACATGACTTAACTCTTAAACTTTTTTTTTTATTTTTTTACTTTCATATTTTTCAATTATCTTTTGTAGTTTATTATGTACACCGCAAAAGTTTACAAAGTAATAAACAAGATGATAAAAATTATATACACAGTGACTTTTATATATTAAATGAGAAGATGCCTTTATTTCTCTCTTCTCTTCTCTTTCTTCTCTCTCTCTTCTTCTCTCTCTCTCTCTCTCTCTCTCTCATATTTTTTCCCCTTTGAACACACTCCCTCTCCCTGCTTCTCCTTTTCACATAGCCACTGTTTCCTCCCACACTCCTGCTCCTCCTTTCCCTCCCTCCTTTCCTTCCTCCTTCCTTCATCTCCCCACACCTCCCCCATCGTCCACTGAAGGAAAAAATTATGAAAAAAATATAGTTTCTGATTTCCTAGACCTTGAAGTCTTGTACACTGGCGGGGTTCACCATCAACAGTGCAGGGAGGGAGGGAGAGAGGGAGAGAGGGAGGAGGGAGAGAGGGAGGGAGGGAGGGAGAGAGGGAGGGAGAGAGGGAGGGGAGAGAGGGAGGGAGAGAGGGGAGGGAGAGAGGGAGGGGAGGGAGAGAGAGAGGGGAGAGGGGAGGGAGGGAGGGAAGGAGGAGAGAGGAGAGAGGGGAGGGAGAGGGAGGGAGAGAGGGAGGGGAGAGAGGGAGGGAGGGGAGGGAAGGGAGGGGAGAGGAGGGAGAGAGGGGAGGGGAGAGAGGAGGGAGAGAGGGAGAGAGGGAGGGGAGAGAGAGGGGGAGAGAGGGAGGGAGAGAGGGAGGGAGAGAGGGGAGGAGAGAGGAGGAGAGAGGGAGGGGAGGGGAGGGAAGGAGGGAGAGAGGGAGAGAGGGGAGGGAGAGAGGGAGGGGAGAGAGGGAGGGAGAGAGGGAGGAGAGAGGGGAAGGACCAAAGGGAGAGTGATGGTTAGATAGATAGATAGATAGACAGAGACAGACAGACAGACAGACAGACAGACAGACAGAGACAGACAGACAAAGAGAGAGGTAGGATAAGAGGTGACAGAGAGAGAGAGAGAGAGAGAGAGAGAGAGAGGAGAGAGAGGCATCTGGTGGCAGCTGGGGAGACTGATCTAATAAAGGCCTTTTAATGTTTATTTACATTTTCTCATTGAGTGAACAGCAAAAGGCTCCTGACATGTCCCTTATGAGCTCAGGGGGCAGCCTTCTGATAGTTCAAGAAATTTTCCATCAAAAGTAAAAAAAAAAAAAGTTTATTTACTTCCGGGCGATGTTGAGAGAACTGTGGGGGTGGAGGAGGGGTGGTGGGGGTGATGGGGGTGGAGGGGAGGAGGGGTGGTGGGGGGTGATGGGGGAGGTGGGGGGTAGGGGTGGTGAGTAATGGGGGTGGAGGAAGTCGTAACATTCTCTTTCTCTCATCGCCTCTGATGATCCAACTCCGGTAAAATGATAATTAGTAGCTCCGATAATTAAAGCAAATACGATAATTAATGACTTTGGTAATTAAGACGAGCCAAGTATTTTATCACTTAGGTAATTAAGGTGACGATGATGACGTCACCTTATAGGCTTATGTAATGTTTATATCTTAGGAATGTTTATATACATGTTTATATATAATTCCAGTTTACATACACGTCTATATACCGTATACATAAGGCATAAACAAACACGCTCACTAACCAGGATTTATTGGACCAGGTCTTAGTAATAACTTGTATGTACCATCAACAGTGAACAGTGCACAAGACACAGTACAGTGCACAAGACACAGTACAGTGCACAAGACACAGTACAGTGCACAAGACACAGTACAGTGCACAAGACACAGTTGCTCAATACCATCAAGTAATAATAAAAGTCAAAGTGGTTCTCGTAGGCTCGACCTTCACTTAGAGGCAGTGCGGATATAGTACACTGTAGCTCAAGCCTTTTTCCCGGTAAAGACTATATTGAGGATGTTACTGAACTAGAACACCATCACCTATCCATCGGTAAAGTTAGGTATACCCATTTACAACTGGATGGACTGCGAGCAACCTGGGGGATCGAACCATTGACCTAAGGATAGGAATCAAGTGCTGTTATCCACTCAACCATGGCGCCCCCTCGTGTCCAAAAAATAATAATAAGAAAATATCATAAACTAATTTAGAAGGCAAATTACATCGACCAAACTACAGATGTAAATTATTAAGTAATTTTTAAAAGACAAATATATATAAGGCTTATAAATTAGGCTATACAAAGTGTACACAATATGCAACAAGTGTAATTACAGCCGACTCGTGTAATTTAGTTCAACTCGGGACAGACTGGACACAAACACGTATTATTTATGTTATTCTTTTCACAGTAATTGTTTGTTTCCTGGAGAACAAGTACACGGTGCGGAGAACAAGTACACGGTGTGGCGGACAGGTACACGGTGTGGAGAACAAGTACACGGTGTGGCGGACAGGTACACGGTGTGGAGAACAAGTACACGGTGTGGCGGACAAGTACACGGTGTGGAGAACAAGTACACTGTGCGGAGAGAACTGAGATAAGGACATTGTGATGAATACTGCAAATGACACTGAGAAATAGTTTGAGAAAGAAAGATTTGAGACAGAAGTGAAGTGACACATGCAAGTAGTAGTAAGATGATGGGAGATGAGGCTGAGGTGGTCATGCCCAGTGGCGAGGGAAGTGAGGGAAGTGAAGGGGGAGGAAGGGAGGTGAGGTGAGGAGGGGGAGGCATCAGGTGAGTCTTGAATGAACCCGTCAGTGAAGAGATCCAGAAGAGGACACAAGGTAAGGTAAGGTAAGGTAAGGTAAGGTATGTAAGGTAAGGTAAGGTAAGGTAAGGTAAGGTAAGGTAAGGTAAGGTAAGGTAAGGTAAAAGGGGTTGTGAGTGGTGGAGGCTGAGGTAGGAGGATACACACACACACACACACACACACACACACACACACACCATTAAAATATCCTTCTTTCCCTCCCCCAAGAAAAGAATCAATTAATAAAAGGTAGACCCGAATTGTCTCATAGATTCATATGTCAGTGTTCCTTGTACCTGAGGATAAGTGAACACACACCTGGGTAGAGTCACAGTACAGTTTCGACACCATTATTGCAGACATATTTGTTCCTTGTGTAATACAGTCTCTTCACTTAAGAAAAATATTACACTTGATCCTTTGAGAATTTAGACTTTAGTAGTATCGTCAACTTACCTGGTGGTGGAGGTAAGAAAAGGATAACCCACACCTGAGCTTACCTGGAAAGACAAAAATCACACGTTAATGATGGACCTCATGACCTTTAATAACATGTCAATAAACTTACCTTAATGAGTTACAATTACCAGGTTAATGAATAGGAAGAGATCACAGTATATATGGGCCAAGATTCTATATATAAGACTCGTACGTTAATTTCATCTCCCTCAACTGGATATTTAAGAACACGTCTAATTAGTTGACTTGAGATATTTCAGCTTTACAAATTGATGTAAGTGTGATAAAATACATTCTCTAACCTCACCTCACTTCACCTCACCTCACTTCACCTCACCTCACTTCACCTCATTTCATCCCACCTCCCCTTACTTCACCTAAACTAAGGCATTCAAAGGAAAAATTTATTATACGAATCGTTTTTACTCTGAACCATAAATTGTAATGGACAATGAACGAAAAAAATATAATGATATAAGGCCTTTAAGTTCCAGTTTATCATTACCCTGGCTGGATTCCTGGAAGACGAGAGGACACATTCACTGGAAGACCCATAATATATCTGCCTGGAACCCTACAAGACGAGTCAAGACACACATATGGAAAATCTTACAAGGACGCAATTCAACTTCTGGTTCACAACTCTCTTCCTGTAATCCTGGAAAACGACAAAAGATTGAGTTTAATCTTCTACGGTATTCCAGTAAAATTTCCAGATTATACTGTAAGTGTTTCTGGAAGTTAGGAAGACATTTGCAAAACAGTGATAAAAAATCGAAAATGCTCTAGTACATTTTCTTATTTATAGTTATTTCTAAAACCTGGAAGACGAGAGAAAAAGGTGGAGACATCTACAGTATTCCAGGACAATTTCCAGTCCATAAGTCTCTCTGTGAAATCCTGGAAGACGTAACAAAACAAAGATGGTGGAGACTAACATGAAGCTCCTGTACAACTTCCGGTTCATAACTCTCTCCCTGGATTCCTGGAGGGCGAGGCAACACGGAGATAAAGAAAGACTTTCATGAACTTCCTGTACAACTTCCACTTCATAACTCTCTTGCTGGAATCCCGGAAGCCGAGGCAAGAGAGAACTAATTATTTCCACAACATCCCAGTACAAATTCCGCGTCATATCTCTTGCCGGAGCCTTGAGAGATAACAGAGAAATGATCTCCTCTCCAAGATGTTCCAGTAATGTTTCCAGTCTACAGGTCTCGCTGGAAGATGAGGCAACTGAGAAACAATATCCTCCACAATATTCCAACTCAACTTCCAATTCACAAGTCTTCCTGGAACTCTGAAAGACAAGACAACAGAGAAACACTATCTTCCACACATTGTCCCAGTCCAACTTCCAGTTCACAGTCCCTCTGGAAGGTAAGGCAAGAGAAACTCAGTGTTCCAGTTCAACTTCCAGTTCACAGTCCCCCTGGAAAGCAAAGCAAAACACACACGTTCCAATAAAACTTCCAGTACACATTCCAGTTCACAAGTCGTCCTCCTTCCCCTTGAAGTCAATAGAAGAGAGAATCAATAATCTCCCTAATATTCCAGTACACCTTCCAGTACACACGAGTAAGCCTAGAAGAAAAGAGAAGATAGAGACGATGGCAGTGAGTGGTGTACCAATATCTGTGTTGATCTGAGACTTAACTGGAGATGGCTGGCGTGTAGCTGTTATGAACTGTGATTGAAGAAGGGGGATTGACAGGAGGGCTAGAAACTGATGGCGATTCTTTCAGTAGAGACGAAGGGATCAAAGGAGAAAGGGAAGGGAGAAGGAGAGTGGCAAGAAAGTGAGAGTAATAGAGACAAAGAGAGAGAGAGAGATAAATACAAGTTGGACAAAGGAAGGGAGATACAGGTAGTCAAAGAGAGAGATAGAGACAGGTGGATAAAGGGAGGGAGATACAGGTAGTCAAAGAGAGAGATAGAGACAGGTGGATAAAGGGAGGGAGATACAGGTAGTCAAAGAGAGAGAGAGAGACAGGTGGATAAAGGGAGGGAGATACAGGTAGTCAAAGAGAGAGATAGAGACAGGTGGATAAAGGGAGGGAGATACAGGTAGTCAAAGAGAGAGATAGAGACAGGTGGATAAAGAGAGATACAATCGGATAAAGAGAAAGAGAGAGATAGACAGAAAGACAAAGAGAAAGACAAATGGAAAGAGACAGAAAGACAGATAAATATAGTGTGAGAGAGAGAATCTTACAGTGAGGAGATTCTCGACCCTCTTAACCAACACTGACACTTCTCCCATCACTGGTGGCCATCCATAAGCTGGGAGATGAGCTGATCTCTCTCTCTCTCTCTCTCTCTCTCTACGTCTTCCCAAACATAATTAATAACACTTCCATAACAGCTGATTGATTTTCCGCTCAAGTAGCTGTAAACAATATTATAATACGGTCTTCAAACACCAACACTATTAAGAGCGGTGCGTCCATAGATTAATACAGGGATGTCGACGTTACTATCTTAGTCTCTCAGCACTGTTTTATCCCCACAACAACGAGGCTGAAGCAAAATTTAAAGAGCTTGTCCATTAAGGTTGATTTATCATATCCTTACCACAGGATTTCCCATCTTAATACCCATAAACGTTTAGCACTGTCTTGTCTCTTGGAGTCGTATGGATAATACTCTACTTAGAAGCTTCGGTGTTTTGGGTTAATTTATAGTGGATTTTCTATACGATTTACGACCATAATGCCTATGGTGGAAATAGCTCTTTCTTGCCTCCAATGTTAAAAGCTGGTTCATAAAGGCGGTTCACTGGCCGTCTTAACAAAGGGTGTCTCGACCATACTTAACGTAGTGGCTTAGCCTTGTCTTAGCCCAAGTATGTGTGGCTTTGAGCTAAGGACCTAGGCGTAAACATATAGTTACCGAGTGCTCAGGGAAGCTATGTAGCGATGTAGTGCGCTATACAGGGTGGTTCATCCCAGGAGGAGCTATGTAGTGAGCTATACAGGGTGGTTCATCCCAGGAGGAGCTATGGAGTGAGCTATACAGGGTGGTTCATCCCAGGAGGAGCTATGGAGTGAGCTATACAGGTGGTTCATGCCAGGAGGAGCTATGTAGTGAGCTATACAGGGTGGTTCATCCCAGGAAGAGCTATGGAGTGAGCTATACAGGTGGTTCATAGCAGGAGGAGCTATGGAGTGAGCTATACAGGGTGGTTCATGCCAGGAAGAGCTATGTAGTGCGCTATACAGGGTGGTTCATGCCAGGAAGAGCTATGGAGTGAGCTACACAGGGTGGTTCATGCCAGGAGGAGCTATGGAGTGAGCTATACAGGGTGGTTCATGCCAAGAGGAGCTATGTAGTGAGCTATACAGGGTGGTTCATGCCAGGAGGAGCTATGTAGTGAGCTATACAGGGTGGTTCATGCCAGGAGGAGCTATGTAGTGAGCTATACAGGGTGGTTCATGCCAGGAGGAGCTATGTAGTGCATATACAGGGGTGGTTCATGCAGGAGGACCTATGGGTGAGGCTATACAGGGTGGTTCATGCCAGGAACTATGTAGTGAGCTATACAGGGTGGTTCATGCAGGAGGAGCTATGTGTAGGCTATACAGGGTGGTTCATGCCAGGAGGAGCTATGTAGTGCGCTATACAGGGTGGTTCATGCCAGGAGGGGCTATGGAGTGGAAGAGCTATACAGGGTGGTTCATGCCAGGAGGAGCTATGTAGTGAGCTATACAGGGTGGTTCATCCCAGGAGGAGCTATGTAGTGAGCTATACAGGATTGGTTCATGCCAGGAGGAGCTATGTGGTAAGCTATACAGGGTGGTTCATGCCAGGAGGAGCTATGTAGTGAGCTATACAGGGTGGTTCATGCCAGGAGGAGCTATGTAGTGAGCTATACAGGGTGGTTCATGCCAGGAGGAGCTATGTAGTGAGCTATACAGGGTGGTTCATGCCAAGAGGGACCTATGTAGTGAGCTATACAGGGTGGTTCATGCCAGGAGAGCTATGTAGTGAGCTATACAGGTGGTTTCATGCAAACTGGAGTTATAAATGATCATTGATATCTAACCATCTACCTATCTCTCTATCAATTTCAATATCCATCCACTATTTACTTACTCATCTATCTATCTATCCACGCATTTACCGATACCTAATAATATTAATAATGGATGCCTCTCGTGTACGAGGATGGTCGTAGGAGCCACCAAGGTGTGAATTTGTTTAAGGTGCAGAAGCTGTGCAACACAACATACACCTGAGTTAACGAGCTGCATGACCCAGTGTCAAGAATAGTCCGAAGACCGGACAACTCACCAACTGCACTGGCTAGCCATTACCCCGGAACACGATCCCAAATCGATTAACATCAGGTCCCAATTACTGTAGACAGAGAATGAGTAAGACTTGCATCCGACTGTCACTTGCGAGGCAGACATGTTGACCACACACACACACACACACACACACACACACACACACCAGACATCAACAGTATACACATAACCACAGTAGAACATTGAGGCGCCCTTACATTACAGCGTTAAGTAATTAGTGTAGTTATGCAGACATATATCACCAGCAGACAGCAGACACTGAGTTACGATCCGGTCTGTTGGCTTGTGTGTGTGTGTGTGTGTGTGTGTGTGTGTGTGTGTGTGTGTGTATTTGTGTGTGTGTGTGGTGGTGTGTAGTGCGTGTGTGTGTGTGGGTTGGGGGGGCGATGTAGGTGTGTGTAGGTGTGTGTGTGTGTGTGTGTGTGTGTGTGTGTGTGTGTGTGTGTATGTTGTGTGTGTGTGTGGCGTGCCTGGTGTGTAGTGGCGTGTGTGTATGTGTAGGGTTGGGGCGCATGTAGGTGTGTGTAGGTGTGTGTGTGTGTGTGTTTGTGTGTGTGTGAGGCGTGTGTGGATTGTATGTGGTGTGTAGAGTGTGTGCGTGTGTGTGTGTGTTCGTGAGGCTTCACCTGTAATTAAGGGACTCAGGTGTGAGTGTTGTTGGCCGTCATATTGCAGGGATCATCTCTCTCTCGCCTCTCTCCGTTGTTATGTGTGCGCATTTGTGTTTATGTACGTATTTGTGTGATCATGCGCGTTTTCTACATGGAATAAGAAGAAGTCAGAGATAGTGAAGAGAGAGAGAGAGAGAGAGAGGGGATAACCTTGCCCCAACCACCATCACCACCACCACCACCACCATCTCTCCACCATTGCCCTGAGGCCATAGGACCAACACACTGTCTCTCTCAGCCACACGGAAGACCATAAGACCAGCTATCTCGATCTCCCGAGGACGAGACCAATTGGAATTCTGAACTGCGGGACGTCATCTCATTGGCTGACAAGAAACTGTCGCAAAGATCTGATTGGGTGTCAGGGAGTTATCTCAAGTATCTGATTGGCTGTCAGCTGGTTGCCCCGGAGATCTGATGGGCTGTCATATAGGTCTTTTGTGACGAGGTGTGTGTGTGTGTGTGTGTGTGTGTGTGTGTGTGTGTGGGAGGGGGGGTTGTGTATGCTTGTGTGTGTGGGGTGGGTGTGTGTCTTGTGTACGTGTGTGTGGGTGTGTGTGGTTGGTTGTTTTATAGGACATTGTTTCATTGATCTGTCACACACACACACACACACACACAAACAAACAAACAAACACCGTCCACACATGACTCATCATTAAGACACACGACTGCCAAGTTCATTCCTTCTTTCATATTTTCTTTCTTATTTCTATCTTATTCTCCTTTACTACCCTTTTCACCTTATCTTCATCAACTTATTTCCTTCCATTATTTACTTTATAAACACATATCCTCAAAGGCTCCTACGATAATTTTTTCCCTTAACTAAAAATTTTCAAAATAATGTCTAATTCACTTAACTTACTACAAAAAGATGGATTCTCAAAGGCTCCTATGATAAATGTTTCCCTCAAGTCAAAATTAAGGACATTTGTAATAACCTCACTTAACTTACGACAAAAAAAAATTTCTCAAGGTTTCTACGACAAATTTCTCAAGTCAAGAAAATATATTTAATTCCCTTAAAATACGATACAAATAAAGATTCTCAGTGGTTCTTATGATTAAAAAATCCCTTACCTATAGCTATGGAAAGGGAAGGAAGGAAGGGAAGGGAAGGAAAGGGAAGGGAAGGGAAGGGAAGGAAAGGGAAGGGAGTAACACACACACACATCAGTCAATATGTCGTCCGAAATAAGACTCGACCTTAACCAGACACCTTTCCCTCATCTCTTCAAGTTACGATGGACAACAATAACACAACCTCACTTACGAGACTTTGAGAATCCGGGTGTAGAGTTTCTCGTTGTCCCCCCTAAGGATCTCTTGCAAGATGTACTACCAAAAGAGAGTTTTTACTGAAATAGCTTTCTAAGTGGCAAGACGGGCTTCCTACCTCTTTAAGTGAGGGATATACGTAATTTATCTCTCTCAGCCACGCAAGTAGGTAGGGAGAGGAGAGGAGGAGGGGGGGGTGAGGGAGAGGAGAGGGGGGGAGGGGGGGAGAGGGGTGAGGTGGAGAGGTGGGGGAGATGGTAAGGAGAGAGAGAGAGGAGAGATAAGGAGGAGGGAGACAGAGAGAGAAGGAGGGGGGGAGGGAAAGGAAGGAAAGACGGAGAAGTGGAGGAGGAAGGGAATATGAAGAGAGAGAGAAGGAGAGGAGGGAGAGAGAAGAGCGGTAGAGAGAAGAGGAATGAGAGGGAGAAGTGGATAGAGAGGAGTTGGAGGAGAAGGAAACACAAAGAGAGAAAGAAAGAGAGAAAGAGCTGTGTTGATTGACAGTCTTTTCACACACACACACACACACACACACACACACACACACACACACACACACGCACCACCACACACACACACACACACACACACACACGCACACACACACACACACACAACACACACACACACACACACGCACACACACACACACACACACACACACACACACACGACTCATCAAGTGTAACGTTGTCACCGGTTCTCGCCAAAAGCCTAAATGCTTCCAGCTATGCGCTTAACTGGTTCCAGCGAGCGGTTCCAGCAGGTTTAACAGATGGTTTCCAGTGAGAAGTTCTAGAGAATGATTCCAATAGGTTTCAGTGAGAGGTTTCAATAGGTTCAATCGGTTTCAATAGGCTTCGAATGGGAGGTTCCAGCTATACGGAGCGACAACCTCAACAGAATTTCCAGTTAAAACTTTTCCAATTTTCTCGTCAAGGGTTCCAGCTGTTGGTTCCAGTGAGGTTCTTTCTGGGGCTTTCCAGCAGTTTCCAGGAGACACTTCTAACGATACTACGTACCATCAACCAGCCAGAGAGAGAGAGAGAGAGAGAGAGAGAGAGAGAGAGAGAGAGAGAGAGAGAGAGAGAGAGAGAGAGAGAGAGAGAGAGATAGGAAAAGAGGAGAGAGAGAGAGAGAGAGAGAGAGAGAGAGAGGTTCCAGATTTCCAGGCAGAAGTGAGGCCAGGCAATGGTTCCAATAATATTATTCTGTGGGTTCCCAGTCGAAAGTTCCATAAAGCTCTTCCAGTAAAGATCTTCTGGGTTCTTTTAGCTGTCTCTAAGGGAAGGTTCAGACAACAGGGTTCCAATAAGGTTCTTTT